CAGGGAGACACTCAGCCAGAGTTTGCAGCACCTAATTGGATTTGGATGGGTTGTGTCAGATTAGATTTGGTGTGGTGGGCAGCTGGACTGGCAGGCACCAGGCCTCTGAAGACCAGGGCTTCTGGAAATAGCTCTGGAGCTCTATCTGGACTCCCCTCAGGGAGGGGAAACAAACAGAGCCTCTGTTGAACTTGGTGCTCCTGGTTCCTCCATGTCCAGATCAAGGGAGAAAGAGGGTGGATCTTATAGTTTGGTTCCCAAGAACAGTCATGGCATAAGCAAGGAGTTGCAGAGGACAGAACTCACTCTTGCAGGAAGCTGCTCTGTGCTTGGCCTGGGCTGGGGCTGGGAGTGGGCTAGGTCTGCATTAGAGGAACATGCAGGCTGGCACAGTGAGGTGTCTGCTGCCATAGCAGACTGGAGCAGGCCTGCTGCTCAGAGGAGTCGGGCAGGGTTGCAACTGCAGAAGAGGTGAGCGCTTCCCAGCTGGAGCTCAGGACCACTCTCCTGGAATTGAAGTGTCTGGTCCCAAGCACCTCTCATGCCCTGGGGCTCATCTTCACACACCCACTTGGCCATGGGCCTCTCATGGGAGCCATCTGCTACAGGAGAGGACAAGCTACCTCCCTGCTCTTGGCTCCCACCTCAGGTCAGCACAGCCCTGAGAGAGGAGATGAGAGGACATGCTACAGCTCTGCCTGGAGGCTTGGAGGGAGGCCTGTGTGCCACCCCAGTCCTGTGCCCCACTGCCTTGCCTATAAAGTAAGAAGCTAGAGTGGGTCACCTTAAGACCCTTTTAGTCCTGGGTCTTAAGGACTAACAGAAACAAGACTGTTCTTCAAGTCCAGGATACCATGTCGAATAAGGGAAACAAGACTGTTCCACAGTGAGTGCACAACTTCCTCAGAACTTTTAATATGTGCCATGACTTTTCTCCACCAGGCATCGGAAATCCCTGAATGTGTTTCTAGAACACAGAGCCAGAATGTCCCAATAGTACTTTTAAAATTCTTACCTTGCCCCCTATTATAGTAGACAGTGGGTTGATCTGCTCCTAGGTAGGACAGCCTTTACTCCTCTTTTCCTCCTCTTCCTCCTCTCTCCTTTTCCACTCTTCTCTCTCTTTCCCAGCCACTCTTTGCTGAGCCCCCACCCTGTACCAGGCCCAGTGCTGGGAACTTGTGATACAGAATAAAGCTCAGGTCTCCCTGTAGCTTACCCATGGCTGGCAGGGGAGAGCAACATAGGCAGCTGACCCTTCATCACAGGCCAGAGGCAGAGGCAGAGGCAGTGTCCACGGCGCGCTTTCTGGAGGAGGTGCTCTCTCACGCTCTTCAGTTTCCTCTGCAGCAACACTCCGGGGTAGACTCCTCAGCCCCATTTCATGGCTGACAAAACAGATGCAGAGAAGGTAGCAGTCCAGTCAGAGTCTTTGATGGTGGTGAGCATGGCTGGCCATCTGAGGACCTGGAGCTGGCTGCTCTCCGTGGCTGTTTGTGCGTTGGCTTGGTAGGCACTGACCTGGAGTGGGCAGTGCACAGCATGGTGCTGGCACCAACCCCAGCAACGGGATGCCCCCACCTAAGATGCCCAGTTGGAGAGATGCACGGAGGTGTGGTGGGGTGCCGAGCCACCCCATCAGGGGGAAGAGCTCGGAGCCATGAGGCCTGGTCCTGAGCTGCTCTGGGAAGAAGGCTGCCTCAGCAGGGCAGACAATGTCCAGGCCGACCCCAGAGAAGAGGACGCTGTGCAGGCCAACCTCCTGTGCTTCTGCCGTGCAGGTGGGTCTTCTTTGGCCTTAGGAGCCAGTGCTGCTCCCAGTGGAAGTGAGGTAGCACAGCCACCCAGGAGCCAAAGCGACAAGCAGAGGTGGCTGCAAGTTGCCCCCAGGCTGGGCAGTTGTGGCCATCTTTGGAGTGGTGGCAAGGGTTGCTTTAAAATGTGGTGGTGATGCTGGACGCCACTTCTTTCAGGGGAAGGCCCCGGACGCCCTCAGGCCTCCTCTGCCCCGCCATGCAGCAGGGAGCCCAGCTCCACAGGGCTGCAAGGCTGCTCCTCTCAGACCTGCCCTGCTCTTGTTTTGAAAAATATAGTTTTTGATAAAAGTACATTATTTAAATTCTTTTCTGTGTGGTAGACATGGGTAATATAACATGTGGACTCGTACACCTGGGCTCTTTGGTCTCCTCTGTCATTGTTAGGAATGTAAAGAGAACCGAAAGCCAGCCCCAGCTGACCCTGGGCTGGAGAGGCAGAGCGGGCTTCAGGACCTGGGGCAGAAGGCAGAGTGCTCAATGGCTATCTGGAATCTGGTGAGGGGCCTCCAGGCAAAGGGTGGAGGCCAGCCCTCTTCCCTACAGTTGCCAGAGAAAACCCAGCCAGGACCTTTGAAACCAGACTCCCCCTCCCCATCTCTGCAGCTCCACATGCTGACCTTGGGTTGCTACCGTAATGCTGGATTATGCCCCCAGGTTACCCTTTGCCAGCAACTATGGCAGCTCTTGGCTCATTATTAAAATCCTCGTGCTCAAAAGGAAAGATGGTTAGATGGCAAGTTGTGGAAGGGGAGATGGAGGGAGTTCTAAAGCTCCTGCTCTTTAGTCCAGGGTTCTTGGATGCAGCAGTTCTCCAGGGATGAGTTTTACAGCGGGTGTGATCAGCAGGGCTTCTCGTAAATTGCTGTCCTTTGACTGGAAGTGGAAATTCAATCTCCCTTTCTTCATCATGTCCAAGCCTGAGCGAAACAGGGGCCTCAGACTCCTCCCGCTCGAGAAGCAGCACAGATCTGCTTCAGTGTAGGCACATGGGGCAGCGCTGGGAAATTGACAGGGGAATTGACAAGACTAAACTCAGGGATCAGGAAGTTTGCTGAATTGGTGGGGTTTGAGATGTGCCTAGGATTTTTTTTGTGGAAGGCAGGAAAGGGAGTTTCCCAGGAGAAAGGAGAAGCTGGGGGGATGGGACACTTCTCAAGGATGGTACCAGGTGTGTGGGATTGGGAACTTGGGGAGTATGTGCAGGGGGCAGGGCTGCAGTGTGGGTGGAACAAGGGAGCCACAGGAGCCTTGTGAGCAAGGAAGGAGGGGTAACCCTAGGCTCTGAGCCCACCGTTGACATTACCCATTAATGATGGTCATGGAGACTGCTTGGTGGCCACCACTTACTGGCCAAACCTTCTCAGAGGCTGGAGTCTCCCAGAAGACCTGCTGAGAGACTGAATGTGTCTAAATGTCCAAGAAAGACCCTCTCCTGAAAGCCACCTCTGAAGTGGGGTGACTGGCCTCTTCAGGACCTAGCAGGAAATCCCTTTCTCCAGATCTGCAGGGGGGAGCAGCAGCTTTCAGAAGTCAGGCCCCTGTAAGGATGTCTGGTCTGTTAGTGAACACCTTCAGCAGGCCTGGCATCTGCCCATCTGTGACCTCATTTCATCTCTCACCTACTCCAGGACAGTCATGCCAGCTCAGAGATCATGAGGCTCAGAGAAGTGAAGCAGGTATCCCCAAGGGCAACAGCTGGTAGGGAAGCCAGGTTCACACCCACATCTGCCTGCCTCTGCAGGGCCTTTCTAAGAAAGCAATGTGCTAGCACTGGCTAATACCAGCTTCAAAGCCAACTGTGTACATGGCGTCCCTACTCTAGTGGTCCCTGTGGATATCACCACACCCCCATAGTTTGAAATCAGCCAAGGGGAGGGTTTGCACCACAGAACTTTGCAAAGACTGCAGATCAGCCCTCCACCCTTTTACCCCGGGTGTTAAGCCTCCATCAACACACCTCTGTGATAGTCATGCATCAGAGCCAGTGGGAGTTGAGAAAGGAGAGAACTGGTCTCTCCACCTGAACTTGGAGCCTCCTGTGAGGCACAGCAGCAGTCAGGTGCTGTGCATCTTTAATCATTGGCTAGTGGGTAGACTCTGCATCATGCAACAGTTGGACAGGAAGAAGTTGAGAAGGCAAGGCGAAGAATGGCCAAAAGTAAAGAAGCAGATGACACCAGGAGTTTGGGCACTGGGCAAAGTGCAGGCTTCACTCTTTTCCATTTTGGGGGTTTTGAGTTTAACATTAGACTTTTGGGGATGTTGCAGATTGACTTCAGGGCCTGTGTGCACTGGGTGGGCACTCTACCACTCAGCCACACCCCAGCCCTAGGTTATTTTAAGCTGTAGTATGACTGCCACGGGGTTTGTGTTTTTACCTGTTGCATTGCTGCATGCCTGTGTTTATGGTGTGCAGGGTCAAGATGGAGCTGGCCCTCTCCTAAAACAAGAGTCAGTGTGTGCTCTGGGAAGGAGAGGCCACCTGTGTGTTCACCCACCAAGGATTTCCGCCTCTCTCCAAAGCCGGCGTCACTCCTCCACAGCTTCTTGCAGGTGGAGATGGAGTCTGGTCACAGAGCTGAGGTGCAGGCTGCAGCTCTTCCCTTTCATCTGCCTTTGGCCTCTTGATGGACTTGTGACCCACAGGCTCTCACTTGACCCCTGACCTCATAAATTCTGGAAGCTCCTCACAAATCACCAGGAAGATAAACATCAACTTGGGTTAATGGAAGGAGGTCTGAACTACTCCAGGCAAACAGGGAGGGGAGATGGAGGGAGGGAAGTTTCTGGGACTGTGGGGGACAGACCAAATGGCCCTGACCTGAAAGTAGTTCCAAAGACCTAACCCAAAATGTGGCTTAGGGCAGGAGCTTTGCCAAGTTAGTCCCCAGTTTTCATTTACAGTGCAGCTCACAAAGCACCAGACCTGGGCATAGTGTCCTTGGCCACTAGGACCATCATTTATGTCTCCATGTGAATTACCAGCCCACACCTGTGTATGTGTATGAGTGTGTGTGTGTGTGTATGTGTGCGCACACATGCACTTGCACTTGCACATGTGTGTACACACCAGCATACATGGCGTGCCATAGCAGTCCAGAGACTATCATTTAATCATGACATTGTTTCTCTCCCTCTCTCTCCCTGGTCCCCAACCCCTCTCTTGTCTGTGTCTCTTCCCAGAGGGTATGAACTGCATGAACAAAGACCACGGTTGTGCCCACATCTGCCGGGAGACGCCCAAAGGTGGGGTGGCCTGTGACTGCAGGCCCGGCTTTGACCTTGCCCAAAACCAGAAGGACTGCACACGTAGGTAGATGGAGGCAATGGGTCAGACACCCCATGCGTCTCCCGCCATTGCTTTGTAGAGGGTCTGTCCAGTCTGCTGGCTGTTGGCCAGGGAGGACTATGAGTTCCATGGGGTGGAAAGAAGGGCAGCTCTGCTGAAGGGCCCTTGGTGGGCTGGAGAGGTGGGTTGTGAACCCTGGGTTTGGGGTTTTCCCTACCTGCTGTGACACTACCAGCACAGCCCCAGGAGCTGGCCTGGACTTGTGAAGTCCCTGAGCTGAACTCTGCAGTGGGAAGGAGGGGCTGTGGTACTAAGATCTAGATGCCCAGGTTTCTGGAAGGGCCTGGCAAGCCCTCAGGAATGGGAAAATGTGAAGAAGCAGAGGAATGTTCTGGGGTCCCATTCCAGACTGTGCTGATGTGACTTCCAGGCTCAGAGATCAGCACTCACAGTGGCTGACTACAAGTGGTAAGACCCTGGAAGGCCACAGGTACCACAAGAACGGCTGGGGAGTTGGCCTGCAACATTCAAGTGTCACCCAGCTCTTAGCATGGCCACTCAGCTCCCCATCAGGAGTGGGGCCAGGAAGCCAAGTGGGACGGGGGCTGAATGCACTCAGCTGCCCTTCAGAGCTTCACAGTGGCTACTAGGAGACAGCAGGATACAGACTCTGCCCACTGGGAACAGGGATGCCCAGGTTGGCACCACATTTGCCCTGGGTCTGCCAAGAGCCAAGGAAGGCTGTGGTAAGCACTTCCATCTTAGCCAGAGCCACAGGCTTCAACATGCTCACTTTCTGATGCAGAAAAATAGGATGGAAGAGTCTGATTCCAACCCTGAGAGAAAGCGCTTCTTGCCGGGACTGTGGAGTGGGGGCCTGAGGCTGCCTGCTGGTGTGAAGGAAGTGGCCTTTCTTCCTCTCCTCATTCTGTACAGAAGACACTCATCCATGCTGGTCCACCATCCTTTGTCATTGTGACTTCTTGTCACCAGCTCACTGGTGTATGTCTCGCCACACCTCTCCCAGTTCAGGATCAACTCAAACAGTGGCCAAAGCCCTGGGGATCCACATGTGTCAGACACTGTCCCCATCTCCAGGCTTGTGCTTCAGCACCAGGGTACCACCATGTGTGCCCCAAAGGAAGGGACTTCCTTCTGCCCAGGTGTAGCCCCAGAGGAGGACCATCCTTCCTCTCTGCTTCTGGTTCTTTGCCATGGGACAGCAAAAAAAAAAAAAAAAAAAAAGCATGACTGTGTCACCAAGTCAGGACAAATGGGGCAACCTCAGGAGTCCAGCCAAGGTCCCTCTCCTTTAACTGCAGAGAAACCACCTGCCACCTGGCCACTTGCAGAACAGAAAATGCTACATCTGGCCTCCTCAGTCCTCCTCCTTGAGTAATCTGAATTTGCTCATGAGAGAGGACCCGAACAGAATGCAGGCAGCCTTCAGCCAAGTACGCTTCAGTCAGAGGACAGGCTGAACTTCCCTCAGCGCTGGACCTTGAGCCAGGAAGGACTGGGACTGGCTGGTATTTAATTCAGTAATCCATCTGGGATAAGAGCCCCAGGGCATAGTGTGCTTGGAGAGCATCTCTTGAAAAGCCGACTTGGTTGGAAAAGTCAGGGACAAGGCAGGGGATGGAGGGTCAACAAGTGTGTGACGGTCCTGCGGCCTCCTGGGAATGGACTGCCTAGCCATTCCAGGCTTGGGTTCCTCTGTGGTTCATGAGGCAGGGCTATTTAGCTGAGACCTATGCCCTAACCCCTTGAAGTCACTTTCAGTTCAGGAAATTCTGGTTCTCAAATTAGGCTGGGGTTAGGTCCTGACTTAGCAGCCTCTCTGGACCCAGGAGCCAGGATGGGAGGCTGCTGCAGGCCTCTGCACCAAACTCTTATCCCTCCAGAGACAGCCATTTTCTCCTTCCGCTCCTTGTATTCCCAGACCTGTACTTCCATGTACAAGCTGAAGGTCTGGTCCTTGGGGGTGCTTGAGATGCTCAGATGCCTGCGTAGAGGGAACAAGGGAACAGGAGCCATTTGGGGGGTACAACCCATCTCTGGGAGCCCAGAGCTTGGGAAGGATCATCAACACTGTTCTTGCTGCCTTCTCTTTATCTCTACCCAGACCCATGCTGAAATGGCCTCTTTTCAGTTCCGTGAAGGCATATACTGTCCAGCCCAGGTCTGCCAGGATCTATGTAATCCGGCAGCCCTGAGTCCTTGGCTCCTCGGGTCTCCTCCTGATCAGAGAGACACACTGTTTCAGAACTAGGATGCGGGGCCTGCAGGAGGCTGCTCACCCTGGGATGAGGAGATACCCTCCTGCAGAGAAGGATCAGGTGCTTGTGCTCTGAGCCCTGTTAGGTTCCTGAAGCATTTCAAGCTCCTTGAAACTTCATGCTGCAAGTTAGGTCAAGAGGAAGCTGCCCATTCGAGCTTCTGTTTGCTAAGGACAATGTCTGAGATCCTGGGAAGCCATTCTTTTTATATCCTTACCTACTGTGGAGACTGCATGCACTGAAGGCTGAGGATCACCACCTCTCAGGACAGGAGTGCCCAGGTGCTCCATGGTAGTCTCCAGGAATGGAGAAGCACCAGTGAAGTGCAGCTGAAGAAGTCCATTCTGAAAGGTTTGGGTCCCTCCTCAGGGAGCTACCACCAGTGACTTCCCTCTGTCAGCAGCCATGCTAATGGGCCTTCCTAACAGAATGTGATTAATTCAGACTCAGTTTGGGATTGGGGGCTGCTGTGCCCATAGTTGGTCTGAGAACTATTCTTGTGTATTTGGTCTTCAAGATGGTTTGCCCAGTACGTTGATACAGTGTATCTCCCAGTGTGTCTGGGAGACACACTGTATCAACTTGGTTTGTGTGCACCCAAAGAACACACATTGCCACACCGGCTCCCTGTGGGGCAGCGCAGGGCCAGGAGGGCTCCACAGAGATCTTGACTCCCCTTGTTCTCCTCTAGCACTCTCTCTCACCCTGGAAACTCTTAATGTGATTTCTTTTAAATAAACTTGAATTGGCCATTTCTCCTAGCCTGGGCTGGCTCTATTTTGTTCAGCCCCTTGTACTCGAGCCAGCTGGCTGACGGACATCAGGTCCCCTGGGCCACAGGCATTGCCAGCTTTTGACTCTGTTTAAGTCACTTTCAGCATCACACCTCAGGTGGCAATAACTGCCAAGATCTACCTGTCTAGACATTCCTAGGCCCAGGGGTTGGAAGGCTATAAGGGGGAAGAGCTCCAGCTGGCCAGGGACCCAGAGCAGGTGACATCCTTGAGAACATCCCTCTACATACTCCAAAACATGCAGAAGACAGACAACTCTGCAAGAACTAAGGAAATGAGTGTCACCTCAAATCACGGCTACCACCTCTGCCCTCAGCTTTGGAGAATGTCCTAGTGTCCACAGCCTTTTGCCCCATTGAAGTAGTCGGAGAGGATGGGACAGCAGCCACCCCACTCTCCAACCACCACCATCCAGCACAGCAGCTGTGCACCTCTGTTCCCAGCCGAGAGGGCCAGAGTCCACACGCATTCAATTCTAGGGACAACGTTGGGTGTGAGACCCTGGAGGTCACAGGGCAGGGAAGCACATCTGCTGCCTGTGAGCCCGGCAAGCCCAGTTCGGGCCCTCGCGTTCCTCCCCCACCCCAGAAGCAACACCAACGCCCACAGACTAACCCTTCTGTTGTTCTGTTTATACACGCGTGTGTACACTTTGGGCCTAACTAGTAACCTGTAACTATGGAAACGGAGGCTGCCAGCATAGCTGCGAGGACACGGACACAGGCCCCATGTGTGGCTGCCACCAGAAGTACGCCCTCCACTCAGACGGTCGGACGTGCATCGGTAAGTTGACACCGCATACCCGCCTCGCTCCACCTGCCCGCAGGGTAAGGTCGCCTACAGTCCCCATCTCCCAGCAGGAAGCTGAGGGAAGCAAGAGAAAGCAGGGGTCCCCAAGTGTCAGCTTTTGTGGACACTTACCCTAGGTCCCATAGACCCCTGGGTCCAAATCCCCAGTAACACCTGGTGCAGGGCAGGTGGTCTGCGGGGAGGAGGAGCGTGTGTTCCTCAAGAGGGCTTCATCGGCACCGCGGCACCAGGGTTTCCCTGGGATGGAAAACGCGTGTCCAGATCTGTTTAGTCTCGTGGCCACCATTAGCTCCACGAGTGCCCAGAGCAGTCTGGAAAGCCCAGAGGTGTCCTCAGAACACAGCTGGTGGCGGGTGGATGGTGTGCATCCTTGTGGGGCCTGGGGTATGGCTGCTTTGAACTGCTTCTCATTCCAAGCTGACGGGGCTCTTGCAGTACTTCCTCCCCACCTGAAGTCCCTCCTCAGTGACACCCCACCCTACACCTCACTGCCACAGGAGTCCTGATCTGAGTCTCGGCCACTTGCTTCCTCCAGGCCCATATTTCCAAGGGGAAGCTTGAATATTTGTGATTGTTTCATGCCATGATCACTAGCAGTTTTTCCTCCTACTCAAAAGTAACAGCAGATTTTTTAACTGAGAAGAAGAGGCATTTCAGAGCTGCGCCCAGAGTTCTCCCTCCTCTCTGTCCGCAGCGCTGGCGCACTAGCACGAGTCAGTGACCATGGTTGTTATTGTTTTAAAAAGGCCCTGTCTCTGATTGCGGTCTCTGGGAAGTGTTTCTGGAGGGATTTTTGAGTGACAGAAAGGGGGGTTGTTTAGCAAGATAAGCACATAAGGCCTGGGGTTGCTGTAGCACTCTGTCCCCTGTGGCTGCTCCCTCGTGTCTTGGAGAGCTGGGTGCTGGCCGGGCAGGGACACCGGGCTGTCACCTCCCAGCCCAGGGCTGTGGTCATGGGTGCTGCTGCCTGCGGTGGTTCTCCCTCTGTGTGGTCTCTCCTCTCAGACAGCCGTTGTTATTTCATTTTATCTCATCCCTCCTGCTTCTCTGGTGATGGTCCCTGATTGCCTGTCTTGTCTGACAACTGACGTTTGTTAATTATTTTCAGAGCCAAAAGCCAAATCCAAACCAACCAAACAATCAAAAAACAAAAAAAATTAAAAGCCAAACCGGGTCTCAGACCAGTGTCTCTATTGCAGCCTGATCCCGTCTAGAACTCCTGTCCTCTGGCCTTTCTCCCTCACTGTCCCCCAGGCTCTCCTGGGCTGCTGCCTCCCTCCTGTCTTGTCTGCTCCTGGTCTCCTGGGGTTTGTGCATCCAGTGGGGCCACAGGCCACTGGACCAGCGCAAACAGCTGCCCGACCAGATGCACTCCCAGCCCGTCTAACCCCTCTTGTCTGTGTCCTCCTGATTCATTCCGACTCATTTTTTAAAAATGTTCTAACGCCTGCTGCACGTGGCGGTCCCTGCTTGGATCTCTTTCTGAAGTAACTTCCCAGGTCCTCGCCTCCCTCCCCCAATTAGACATTTCTGACTCAGCTTTGCCACAATGGCTTCCTTCCTTCCAGGATGAGAAACCTCTGTCTTTGCTCATGTCACCAGCTCCCTCTGGGGACAGTGTCTTCACACATTCCAGACTGAGCAAGGGAACCAGCTAACCTCTACCCCTACAAGAAGCCTCCTGCACAGCTTTGCACCCGGAGGCTGCCCGGCTGCCCCAGGCTGTTCCTTTTCCCACTCCTACAGCAGCTGCCCCCTCCTGCAGCCTCCTGCTGAGCCTTGAATGCCCAGCCCTCATCCTCTAGACAAGCAGGCAACCAGCGCTGCCCAAAGCAACCCCGGGGTCCTGCGTCTGCTCGGCAGGATCCACTGTTCTGTGTGTGCGCTTGTTTTTCTCCATATGTTTTGGTCTTAATTTTGCATGAGTGACACTTTCATGTCCTTGTGACAGGGCATCTGCTGTCCTAGGCACATCCATCACCGGACCTCGCGGCCCTGTCCCCTTGTCCTGTGCCTTGTCCTGTGCCTGCCTCTCCAGCCTGAGCTATGGGGGTCTGTAACCACTTGTCTCCGTGAGCACTGCGGTGCTGGTGTCTGCACTGTGGCCTCTGCAGAGCACCCTCCTGCTCTGGCCTCAGCCACCTCTCCTATGTTGTTGCACATGGGACTGTGTCCATCTGTCCTGGGTCGTGTCACAGTCACACCCTCTTCTGCACGCCCCACCCTTGCTGCCTCTCTGCTCTGCCTGAGCACACCTACCCTGGAGGTCCTGGGATGGGCCCCTTGGCAAGGACAGTGCGCTGGCCGCATGCTGTGTTGGCTTCGTGTGCGCCATGCTGAGAGGCTGGCTGTCTTGGGCCGCAGGACGTGGGCTCTCATTAACCTCTGGCTCCGTGTTTGTCCCTTACTTGTGTTTTAGAGAAGGATGAGGCTGCAATTGAGCGCTCTCAGTTCAATGCCACGTCAGTAGCTGATGTGGACAAGCGGGTGAAACGGCGGCTACTCATGGGTAACACTTTTCTTCCACTTCCTTTGTCATGCTTGCCCTTGTGTGTGCTCGTGCAGGTGAGCGTGTATATGTGCATGTGGGGTGAGTGCACTGGTGCGTGAGGGTGAGCGTGTGTGTATGTGCGCATGTGTGTGTGGGTGGACCCCTGCGTGGAATGGTGTGTGGCCCTGTGTGCACAGTCACATGTGTTGTGTGTGAGTGTGGGGGGCTCCGCTGCAGATGGGAACTCATTTTTTTCCTTTTTAAAGTTTTTACCTTCCATCAAACGCACTTGTTTCTTTGTTTGTGTGTTCGTAGCACAGAACCCAGCGCCATGTCTAATGGGCTGAGCATGTCGGGAGATGTTTGCCGTAAGCCTCCTCCCGAGTGTAGACCCCCACGTGTGCATAAGCCCGGCTGGCACAGCGCACGGGACTCAGAAGCCAAGGAGGCCTTGGTGGGGAGGGGCCCGCAGCCCAGGCCTTCTGCAACTCCTCTCCTGGGAGGGAAGTCACCATCCAGTCCTCTCGTCCTCAGGGGAGTCACCTAGTTCTCAGGGTGCCCTGGGAGGCCTGCTGGATAGTGTGAGGAAAAAAAGAAGGAAGAGGAAAGAATGGCCGCCCTTGGACCGAGCACGGGATGCAGGACAGAAAGCGGCACCGGCCGCCACTCACGCCTGGACCCAGCAGCTGCTTCTGCAGTTCAGGGTCGCCAGTCTGAGGGCTTCAGCTGTTGCCTGGGGCCTCCTGGGTACAGCTGCGGACTCTGGGGGTACAGCCTTTCTGGTGATGCTCTGATGGCTCACACCAGCCCTGGGAGCCATGGACTTAAGGATGTAGTCCCCATTTCTCAGAGGAAGGTTCCTGGGGTCCCCAGGCTTGTCCAAGGTCGCACACTACCCAACACAGCCCAGAGGCCACGGGTCCTCTCAGTGTTGGGATTGCTGGAGGTCAGAGCTGAGGGTCCCTGAAAGGTCACCTAGTTTTGTGTTCCTCATATGAACCTCCAAGGGGCCCAGGCATCTAGAGAGGAAATAGGAGGGAGGTCTCGGACACAGGAGGGACATAGCCCTGTGCTGGCCAGAAGGCTGGAGGCCTGCAGGCTGTGCTCAGTGAGCACCAAACACCTGCACTGGGAGGGCAGGTGTCACCCTCCTCCTCAGATGCACGCTCCAAGACCAAAGAGGTCTGAGCATTCATCCTGGGCATATGGACTGACAGGACAGGCCCAGGCTGGAAGCCGTCCTCCACAGAGTCTCTGGAGGGACCATCTCTTGGGCATGGGTGTGGCCTTGGAGGCTTGTCCAGGCAGTCATGACCACAGCCTCCAGGAGGTGAGAGTCCGTATGTTGGACCCCTAGAGTAGTGACAGAGGTGGGTGCCAGCAGCCCCAGGGATCAGTGATGTGAGGCCACACTCAGGACTCTCAGGACCCAGACTTTCACCCCACTTCCTAAGTGCTACAGGTACTCCTGTTGAGGCCTGAGCCCCACAGAAAGCCTCTAAAGCCCTCCCCCCCCCCCCCCCCCCCCCCCCCCCACACCTCCCACCACCCCCCCCACACACCACTCTTCCCAGGAAGGAGCTAGGTGGCAGAAGAGGCCAAGCTGAGCTGGTGCTGCAGGGGTGGTGGGCAGGGTGATGGGACAGGGCCTCTGCACTTGCCTTCTGTGATTAGAAGCAATGGACAGCCACCCCAGCCAGATCCTGAGGGGCCAGGGAGGCGGGGAACCCAGCCACCTCTCTTTGGGCTTGGTAGGCAGAGAAGGGGAGCAAATCAAAGGGTGTGGGCCAGGATCAGGGTGAGGACCACAGTGGAGTCAACCTTCCCCACATTCCCACCTCTCCCATCATTGAAACCTGCCATTCACCCCCCAAAAGCCTGTCCTGACTCTCAGAAGAGGCCTCTCTCTCCTCTGGTGTCCCTACAGCTCTTGCCATGGGTGGATGGGCCAGTGTCCTAACTCACACTCTCAGAGGTTTTCAGAAAAGGTCAGTCTTGGGGCCCAAAATCTAAAGCACAGTTGAACCTCCAACTCAAAAGCCCTGTCTTTGAAAGCAGCCTCTAAGGTAAAGATATAAGATCTTGTTGGACTTTAGACCCTAACTGTTAGACCCCAGGGAGGTGTCGCTGTTCCCAGGCTGTATTAATAGAGACAAGGTATGGAGAATAGGAGAGGTGAATACCCACATTCTGCCTTATGCCAGTCAGCACATACCTAGGTATCAGGGTCAGAGCCAGGTCCTGCAAGGAGAGTGTCTAGATAGTGAAGGGAATCGGAATTGGATGAGACTCGCTTATTAATGCTACTAGAGTTTTTGATCTCTGAAGAAGCACCAGCACCTTATCCTGGGAGATCCTCGGGCTTGTGGGGCTAGGGCCGGGAGAGAGTAGGACAGGCAGAGGGGGAGGTACCCATCAGCAAATGAAGAAGCCGATAACCCCAGGAGATCCATGACCAAGTTAGACCCTGGGCCACCTGGCTCTACGGTTTGTGCCCGTCACCACTGCACTGGCCGGCTCCCCACCCGCCACCCAGAACCAGTGAGTGCCTGTGAGACACCAGGACCTGAGTGGTTGGTCTCCTGTGAGCAGGACCTGGTGAGGTCCTGTCCATGCTCCTCCAGAGCAGGGCACCTGCATTGCAGTACACCAGGGCCAAGAGGTCTCACAGGCATCTTCTGTCTGAGAGGCCCCCTGTCTTTTGTGTGGATGGGTTTATCTGCAGAGCAGGTAGGAAAAGACAAAGGGAAAGGGCTGCTTCCCTCTGGAGTGAGCAGGTGCTGGGAGCTCCTGCCCACCTCTGGGGTACCTCTGCATCTTGCCATGCTCCATGGTGACCACATAGCTGGAACAGACTTGTCCTACCGGCCCAGGTGAAACCTCTCTCCATGAGTGTCCATGGCCACATGCTCCCTCTGGACAATGAGCCATCAGAGGCCCCTAGCTCTTCCCTGTGGGCTCCCAGGTGAAGGGCAGAATTCAGATTCAGACCCTCTGATCAGCTGTTTGACTCAGAATTCTTCCAGAATGCTTTGTGGCCCGACTTGCAGAGGTCATTTCCTATAGATACATGCAAGTCATTTAATGAGCTGTCTGGCCTCTTAGCCTGGCCCAGAACTGGAGAGGAGCAAACAGCAGAGGGTGTGAAACACCAGCTAAACCCAGCACTCTCCCATCGTTGGGCCTCTGCACTTCTGCGTGGAACCTGCCTGCTTTTCCTTTACCAAAGCCCAAGCTGTGACATTTTGACAAGGGTATGAAGTCTAGAGACCAGAAGTGACAAGACACTAAAGCCTGCAGAGGGCCCTGCTGCTTTGCTGGGCTCAGAGCTTCTGGTAGTGTCAGGCAGAAGAGGCAGTCTCTGGTGGAGACCACACAGCAGAGGGCCCTGTGCCCCCAGGTCAGTGGCTCCAGCCCCGCCTCTGGCACAGTGGGGTGCTGGCCCCAGTGGGGGAGGGAGTGCTCCAGCAGTGTCCTGTCCCTCTAAAGTGCACAGAGCCCCAAGCAGGACTGGTGGTGTTCCATCTGCCTGTCAACCCCAAGCTTTGAATCAAGTTCTTTCCAGAAGCTTAGGATGGGTGTGTGCGTGTGTGTTTCTGGTGGTTGCTATTAACACACTGCCACCATCTCAGAGCAGCAGCATTGTCGTAGGATGCAGGTCAGAAATTTGATACAGAGCTCCTGGGTCAACGTCAGGTGTCTGCGCCTGCAGGCCCAGGTTCCCTCTGGAAACCAAGGAACAGTCCCTCATCTTGCCTTCTCCCATTTCCGGAGGATGCTGTGTTGGGTAGCTCACTGCCCCTTGCATCTTGAGAGCCAATCGCCCTGAGGCTGACCCTCCTATGTTGTCACAACCCTCTCCCTCTTTTCCTCTCCTCTCTCTCCCTGTCATGGTTAAGGACCCTCGTGATCCTGGGGGTCCTCTCGAGATGATTCAGGTTTTCTCCTGTCCCAAGGTGTTAACTCAATCATATCTACAAAGCTCTTTTTACCATGTGGGGTCACAGGCTCTGGTTTCAAATGGGGACATTTTAGGGGCCTTTATTTGGCCTAAGACGGATGGTTCAACTTGGGCTGGGAAGAACTGCACTAAGATGGAGCCCTCGCCCTCTTTACTGGCCTTGCCTGTCCCTCCTCCAAAACCATTCCCAAGCGTATGGGATGTGCTGGCCAACGTGGGCTAACCTGCCGCTTCGGGGGACCCCTCACCCTTGTGTTGGTGCCCTCCGTTCTCAGCAGCCTAGGTGTGTCTTTGGCCCACCCCTCTGCCCAGCCCTCCAGCCTCACCTGTGCCACTGCCTCCTCCTGCAGTTGGCCCAAGTCTTCCCAGTCAGCTGTCCCCACTGTACAGATGAAGAACTGAACCCTGAGAAGGGAGGCCACACAGTCGGTAAGCAGCACCCTGGGCCACAGCTGGGCTCATGGACTTCCAGGGCCCCGAGTCAGGAGCAGAATAGGTCTGAGGGACGCAGTTCTGCAGGTTCAGTAGCCTTGACAGCCATCCTGGCTCCCCTGTCCCCTCCTGAAGGGAGCAACAACAGAGCCTACAGCCAGTCCTTCCTACCATTTCCTGATGCCCGTGAGAATGGCACACCTGATAGACAGGTCAGTGATCCAAAGTGACTGTCAGACCTGGCTTGGAGCCTCAAGCACTCCCCAGACCCCACTGAGGGCTGGGGCTAAAGTTTTTCGTAGATGAGAAGGACAGTGAGGCTAGAAAGCAGGGTGGGAGTTCCCCTCCTCTACTCCCAGAGCTAGCACTGCCTGGCGCCCTGCACCTCTGCCTGGTGCCCTGCACCTCTGCCTGACCTGTGGGGGCCCACACTTCCCTCCCTGTTCTCAGCAATGGCCTGGAGTGGTGCTCAGTGATGGTTACAGAGGTCACAGCAAGTGTGGACAGTGCCTGGTCTGCAGGGCCATGGGTTCCATAGGGACAAGGACCACCAAAGCCTTACCTGTCCATCCCAAGGGCCCCCTTCACTAAGCCTCCCCATTGCTGGACAGACCTGGGACCAACC